TCAGTTGGTCAAATAAAAATTAAAGAGCAGAGAATTTGGGGAAATGATTAATTTATAACATACCAAAATCCAAACCATTTTATGACTTTTTTCTTGTTGGCCACATTGCTGACAAAGATGTATATAATTTTAATCTATACAACAGAGGACTGATTAGGAAAAACCCATCCCAGTCCCCTACCCAAAATTATAAATTGGTTAGTATCAGAGAAACAGAGAATTTAGGAAAGTTATTATACAAAACAAACACTATTTTTACAACTTCCCTCTTAACATCAGAGTCCAAATGCAATTTCAGGGCCACAAACCCTGCTCTGAATTGTGACCTCCTGTGTTTGAAACAAGTTGCAGATTCTCTTTGCTTTGATGGATCTGGATATTTACATGGCACTACAATTCACCAGCAGAGTTGCAGTTTGGTCACAGATCCATCCTTACCCTAGAGGTGGGATCATTGCAGGCAACTTTTTGTCTAGCATACCAGCCTTCTCTGGTCTGGGTGTTGTGAGGGAAGATTAGTGAAAAGTGTCATTGACGATCGATGCAGCCTCAGTAAACTCCAGGGCCTTACACCCCCCTGGAATTCTGTTGGATCATTGTATCATCAGGGGCCTTGCAGTCAGATTAACCTTTTGTACATGAGGAATGTGTGAGAATGACTGTAATGTGTTCAAGGTAGCATACGTGCTTCAACATCTGTAAATTTTCAATAATCAAACGTTGCATATCAAATTGTTTCTTTTGCAACAGTCAATGCTGCCTTGACATCTTGTAATTATAATAATATAATATTAGTATTATTGTTACAATTACGCAAAGCAAAATATTATCAATGAAAATCTTGTAATTACCCAGTAAGATCTGTTCCACGTTTTGATTCCAATTAAAATATTTATAAGCTAAATAAAAATATCAATACAAATAAAAAAAAGTAGATCTGGTTAGTTATTAACGTTTCTTTAGGAGACCCAAACCAAACCAAACAACAACACTCATGTTTTGTCACCTTGGACTCTGTCAAAAAACAATTAGCGTCTGTCCTACCAAAAAGAAACCAATTACATAGTGGAAATTTGAAGTGTTACACTAATTTTTTATATTGTGCAATGTAGCTTTACAATACGTGGCAAACATTCTGGCAATAAAAAGTAAGTGATAAACTGGATTTGAATTGGATCTGAACTTGATCTCCAGTTTAGAGAGGTAACAAATATATACTGGTGAAGCTTCAGGAGCAATGGGTTCTATATAACATTTCTTGTAGCAACAAACTTCCATTATGCTGAAACCAATAGGATAACAATAAATAATTAGTGTGTACGAGTTGATCAATTAACGAACTTTTTCTACAATGCCTAGAGATAAGAGACGACAAGAGGATGAAATAACTGAATGTGGGTAAGTGTTTTAAGGATGGTGGTGGGTTATCACCTGCCACTCGTCATTACTCTAGTTAACGTTAAGGTAAGTTTGGATGGAAGGTCTGTGTTCAGTTTGTTATGAAAAAACTTGTCAATCTTGACCTAAGAAACACAAATAAGGAAATTGTTTGCATAAAAAACTATGAACCTTTCTTATATATATGTATATTATCTTTAGTTTTACAAATATATTTGAATTTTTAATTGAATTTAATTGGATAGAATTAAGAGTGATTATTATTGGTATTGTGAGATTGTAAATGGGGCATACTGCAACAAAACCAGACAAAGTGAACATTGGTACTACCAATGATTACAGTTAATACCATCGTTGAATTATTAGCATTAAATATTGCTACTAGTATTAATTAAATTTTTTTTTGTTTATTTACTTTCTTTATTGCTATACAATCGTAGCATTATACTTTTTTTTTTTGAGAAAAAAAAATCATTCAGTTTATCCAGTGCTTATTCGTCTTGTATCTTCATTGTTATCAAAATAATGCAAGATATTTTTACTGCTTGAATTTATAAGTTCCTATTTTCATTTTAAAGAAAAATTTAAAATTTAAGTTAAATTTACATAATTTACAATTCAAAAATTTCAAAAATTTATTTATCAAATAACTCACTCTAAATATGAATAAATCTTGCATGAATGAAGGTAAATCTCGATGGAGCATTCTGATTTCAGTTGGAATTTCAGATCGATATTCTAATTTAAAATAGTACAATGCATATCACCAGCATGCAAGACGGTGCAATTAAGCACAATTCAGCACTATGGAATTTTTTTCCCACAGGTGAAACAGACTTAAACATGTTGGAAGGCTTTGGACAAAAACTTTTCCCTTATCTCTCCTCTAAGACCAGGCTTGACTGTTACCACATGGGCATTGATCACTGATAGCTGGTGCTTGTGTGATGATTGCTATGTGTTATTGCCACATTAGAATAAAAGTTGGCACCTGCAACTGGTTGAAAATTCAGCAACTCAGAAGGTTGCAACCTGGATTGCTGTTTTGGATTTTCCCTGGATTCAGAGTTTTGAGTCCTGGATTACTGTAATTTTTATGAAAAGAAAAGTATTAATATTTAACAATTAATTATTTAAATGTTTATTTTGTTGAAAAAAAATATACATTGATAGTGTACATTTTCTGTGCTTAACATCCATGTGACCCTAAGTCTGGACAAAAGATCCCTTTCTATGAGTTTGGCTGGTATATCTAAAAGGTGTCTCCTGTCTTGTCAGTGGCATCACATTTAAATAACAAATTCAGTTGGTCAAATAAAAATTAAAGAGCAGAGAATTTGGGGAAATGATTAATTTATAACATACCAAAATCCAAACCATTTTATGACTTTTTTCTTGTTGGCCACATTGCTGACAAAGATGTATATAATTTTAATCTATACAACAGAGGACTGATTAGGAAAAACCCATCCCAGTCCCCTACCCAAAATTATAAATTGGTTAGTATCAGAGAAACAGAGAATTTAGGAAAGTTATTATACAAAACAAACACTATTTTTACAACTTCCCTCTTAACATCAGAGTCCAAATGCAATTTCAGGGCCACAAACCCTGCTCTGAATTGTGACCTCCTGTGTTTGAAACAAGTTGCAGATTCTCTTTGCTTTGATGGATCTGGATATTTACATGGCACTACAATTCACCAGCAGAGTTGCAGTTTGGTCACAGATCCATCCTTACCCTAGAGGTGGGATCATTGCAGGCAACTTTTTGTCTAGCATACCAGCCTTCTCTGGTCTGGGTGTTGTGAGGGAAGATTAGTGAAAAGTGTCATTGACGATCGATGCAGCCTCAGTAAACTCCAGGGCCTTACACCCCCCTGGAATTCTGTTGGATCATTGTATCATCAGGGGCCTTGCAGTCAGATTAACCTTTTGTACATGAGGAATGTGTGAGAATGACTGTAATGTGTTCAAGGTAGCATACGTGCTTCAACATCTGTAAATTTTCAATAATCAAACGTTGCATATCAAATTGTTTCTTTTGCAACAGTCAATGCTGCCTTGACATCTTGTAATTATAATAATATAATATTAGTATTATTGTTACAATTACGCAAAGCAAAATATTATCAATGAAAATCTTGTAATTACCCAGTAAGATCTGTTCCACGTTTTGATTCCAATTAAAATATTTATAAGCTAAATAAAAATATCAATACAAATAAAAAAAAGTAGATCTGGTTAGTTATTAACGTTTCTTTAGGAGACCCAAACCAAACCAAACAACAACACTCATGTTTTGTCACCTTGGACTCTGTCAAAAAACAATTAGCGTCTGTCCTACCAAAAAGAAACCAATTACATAGTGGAAATTTGAAGTGTTACACTAATTTTTTATATTGTGCAATGTAGCTTTACAATACGTGGCAAACATTCTGGCAATAAAAAGTAAGTGATAAACTGGATTTGAATTGGATCTGAACTTGATCTCCAGTTTAGAGAGGTAACAAATATATACTGGTGAAGCTTCAGGAGCAATGGGTTCTATATAACATTTCTTGTAGCAACAAACTTCCATTATGCTGAAACCAATAGGATAACAATAAATAATTAGTGTGTACGAGTTGATCAATTAACGAACTTTTTCTACAATGCCTAGAGATAAGAGACGACAAGAGGATGAAATAACTGAATGTGGGTAAGTGTTTTAAGGATGGTGGTGGGTTATCACCTGCCACTCGTCATTACTCTAGTTAACGTTAAGGTAAGTTTGGATGGAAGGTCTGTGTTCAGTTTGTTATGAAAAAACTTGTCAATCTTGACCTAAGAAACACAAATAAGGAAATTGTTTGCATAAAAAACTATGAACCTTTCTTATATATATGTATATTATCTTTAGTTTTACAAATATATTTGAATTTTTAATTGAATTTAATTGGATAGAATTAAGAGTGATTATTATTGGTATTGTGAGATTGTAAATGGGGCATACTGCAACAAAACCAGACAAAGTGAACATTGGTACTACCAATGATTACAGTTAATACCATCGTTGAATTATTAGCATTAAATATTGCTACTAGTATTAATTAAATTTTTTTTTGTTTATTTACTTTCTTTATTGCTATACAATCGTAGCATTATACTTTTTTTTTTTGAGAAAAAAAAATCATTCAGTTTATCCAGTGCTTATTCGTCTTGTATCTTCATTGTTATCAAAATAATGCAAGATATTTTTACTGCTTGAATTTATAAGTTCCTATTTTCATTTTAAAGAAAAATTTAAAATTTAAGTTAAATTTACATAATTTACAATTCAAAAATTTCAAAAATTTATTTATCAAATAACTCACTCTAAATATGAATAAATCTTGCATGAATGAAGGTAAATCTCGATGGAGCATTCTGATTTCAGTTGGAATTTCAGATCGATATTCTAATTTAAAATAGTACAATGCATGATAAGGCATACTAAGAGAATATACATAAAATTTATTCTCTGAGAGGAAAAGCAATTATTTTAGTATTTGGTAAAGAAGATTGGTTTTGATAAAAAGCAAATTTTACCATATATTTGTCCTGCATACAATTTTACTTTTCTCAAATGTTCCAGACTACCCAGGTACCTATTATTATACAGTTTAGCATCATTTTAAGCATTTTTGCTATTTTATTTCTATCGCCCACATAATGTGTGTGGTCAGGTTCTGATGGAGATCCTGAGATCTCAATAATTGAAATCTCAAAAGGCACATCAATCAGATCAATGATGAGGTCAATCTTATTTCCGTGGTCTCTGCGCTGGTCATCCAGTAGTCTATGATTGTTACAAATTGATGCAGCTTTTAAGTGTGCTTCTCCCCTATTGAAATGGTGGGTTAAATAAGTTGATAACAAATTAAATGATAAGAATATGAAGTGAAATTACCATCTAAAATCTAATAGTTTAGCTCTTAGATCGTTTTTAAAAAGAGTATTGAAAATATCTGAAATGTAATTTATTGTATAATGATATTCTGTTTCATCTTTTCCAGACCTCAATCGTTGGTCCTTCAATCGTCCTTTACTATTTAAAAAGGTTAACAGCCAGTATGATTAGTCAGATTGTAATCAAGAAGATTTCTGAAGTCAATAAGTACTTACATTATTTCTACCAACTTCAAAGGCTTTTTTTTCCATTGTTCATCTGTATGTATATTTGCTTTCTCTTTTCTAATAATATTACCAAGCGCCTTCAGCTCAATCTACTTTTCAAAAGATGAAAATTAGAAATGAATATACAACACCTGCAAGCAGATAATGATCTTACTGTGTTTCCTAACAGTGATATCATATAATCTTTTATATGTGATTGGTCATTTACTGGGGGTGTTGATAAAATATCTTCGATTGTGTTTACTATGGAATCCCAGTTATCTTTAAATAATAATCTGGATTCGGTTGGAGAGGTCTTAATGGTATCGATTATATTATAATTTAATAGGCTAAATAATATACATTAAATGTTACTTTCACTACTCAAAACTTCTAGGACAAAATAACAATAAATATCATACTCTTGTTTGTGTAATTCAATTGAATGCTTTGATGTCTTACGCCATTCATTTATAATATCTCGAACCTTATGACCATTTATAAACAAATTCACTGATCCGTATTTTTCTTCTTCCTCATTTGTCACTACTCCTGATATTTCATCTGATACATTTTCCTATGGTGGGAAGTTATATTAATGTCAAAATACTCTGTGTTAGAAAGCAGTAAGCAAGTTCTCTAATACTGTTTAATCAGCATTATCATTCAAAAAAGGTAAAATTTATTAACTACTTACGTCATCTGCAAAATCAGTTTTTCGTTGTTTATCAGATCTTTTTCATTCATACATTATTATAAGAAAAGTTTTTAATATAAGGAATTAGAATAACAAGTGGTTCCGCCACAATTTTTTTAATAATAACTAGAATTACGACAAGTGGCAACAACCACCATTCTTCTTTTAAACACTTACTCGACTGCTTTCCCTTTGTCGGATTTTCGGTTTCTTTTTATCGCTTTTACTCGATCTTTTGGTAGCATTTCTATTAAAAAAATTAAGAGAAAAATTTTATTTTGATCGACATACTAATACGCGTATACGACTTCATTATAATAATTATGGTTGTACGAAGATTGTTATTGTTGTTGATACAATTGAATTTTTTTTTATTTTCTTGGTTTTTTGGAACCGTGAATGTTGTTTTCTGAAGACGTGTTGTTTATTGACGACCAGAGGTATTCTTTTTTTTGTTTTATAAATAATTTTTTATTTTATTGTTTTATGGCATCTTTTATTATTTTATATAAATATATATATATATATATATTGTCGAAATCAAACTGTGGAACAGAACGTGTAGTGTCTCTTGGGTATTTATTACAAAAGCCTTGATAATAATAAATAATGGGTATCATTTTGCTTTTTGTAATCAATGTTAATATTAATATTAAATAATTATAAGATGTCAAGGCGATACAACTGTTGCAGATGAGGAGGGAAGGGAAACAATTCGATATGTGACATTTTCATAATTGTAAATTGGCAGATGTCAAGGCACAATGCTACTTGAATACTTTACAGTCATTCTCACACATTCCTCATGTACAAAAGGCTAATCTGACTTGCGACCCCTCAATGATACAATGATGCAACTAAATTTTCAGGGGAGGGTTGCTATGCTCTGGAATTTATCAAACTACATCATTGTCGAAGGCATCTGAATCTTAACCTTCTTCCCTCACAGGACCTGACCAGAGAAAGGCTGAAAAGTTGCCTGCAATGATCCTACCTCTGGGATAAAGATTGATCCAAGACTAAGAAGTTGCAACTCTGGAGGAATATTAAGAGAATCTGCAACTTGTTTCAAGCTCAGGGAGGAAATTACAATTCAGAGTGTGTTAGGAATTGCATTTGGTCCTGGATGTTAAGAGGAAAGCTGTAAAATAGTGTTTCTTCTATACAGATTAATTATTCTGTTTCTCTTGATATTAACCTAATTTATAATTACTGGGCTTTTGCCCAAATAGTTCTCTGTCCTATAGATTATATATTTCAATATTTTTGTCAACTAAATGACATACAAAGTGGAATTCTTTGCACTTTTTAATAATCTTTTTGGAAAGGGCCAACAAGAAAAAAGCCATAATTTTGGTATGTTCTGTACAAATTAATCATTTTTCGAAATTCTGTTTTTTGGTAAATTTTTAATTTGGTTAACCAATTTTATTGTTTTTTAAACAGAGTAGGGATTGGGTTTTTGCCCAAATTGTTCCTTCCCTAGGGTTGGTGTTCCCTGACAAAACAGCAACCCAGGTTGCAACTTCCTCAGTTGCAGAATTTTGTATCAACTGCAGATGCCCATCTTATAACTTTATTCTGGGGGAAGATAGCACAAAGCAAGCATCACACAAGTGCCAACTCTCATCAGCAGTTGATGCTGTATGGTAACATTCAAGTCTGGTTTGATGGGAAGATAAAGAAGGTTTTGTCTACCTTATAAAAGCCTTCCAATATGTTTAAGATGCTTTCACCTGTGGAAATGAAAAAATTCCATGGTGCTGAAAAGTGCTTAATTGCACATTTTGCAAATTTGTGACAGGAAATTTTATTAAATCTGACACTTGTTATTATCATCAGATTTACAATTCATAAGGAACTATATAATTGGAAAAAAGAAAAATATTTTTTTTCTGATCTTCCTTATTCATTTATTCATTTTTGCGAATCCCAAAGATTCTGAATAGACACACACATTATTGTTTCGAAATCAAGTTCTTAAAAGGTTTCATTTCTGCATGGTCTTGGTATTATTTATTACTTGGGTGATGCAATTGTTTGTTATGTCATCAAATGTATTGCATAATCATCAATATCATCACAAATATTTAATTGATGCATGTATTCACATAGAAGGAAAGGATTGAATAACAACAAAAAAGCTAAGTCATGTTTGTTTTTTATCTATATAATTATATTTAAAATATTATTTTATTCTACTTTTGCAATGGCATTAACTCTGAAATTGTTTGTTTCTTTCTTTAATGTTTAATGATTGAATTAATCACACATAGAAATTAGAATCAGTCAAAAATTTGTTAATTGATTAATTGATTGTTTATTTATATAATATGAAAGTATATGTTATATTATAATGTTCTATAATTTAAATAATATAAACATCATTAAATAAATACATTTTTTATTACATTTTACTGTTTTAGTATAATCAATCTCAAAATAATAATTTAAACAATAAACAATTTCCTTAATTATTTTTTTAGTATAACAATAATTTCCCTAAAATTAAATTATTGACTACAACCAAGAAATTACAGGTATCAAGATAATAATTTCCACGATTTTATCTTATCTATTTTTAGTAATAATAAATAATTTAAATCTAGACATAATTATTTTTCATGGAACCAATTTGAAGATTTTTATTTTCTTTTTTAAATCAATTATTGAATATATACTTGAAAATATTTCTGATATTTCTTTGCAGATCCACTCAAATTTAGAATCTCTTCAATTTTAAAATAAATGAATACCTACAAAGTGAACATAAAATTGTATATATAGGGATAAGTGTATATGAAAAGTAATAATAAATATCATGGTTCTAATGAATATCAAAAAGCCATTGGTTTTTTAGAAAAAGGTTGTAAATGTGGTTGCTCTTTGAGAATTCCTAAGGAAGAATTTGCAGAATTAAGAGAATCCTTTCAAGCTCTTTCTAAAACAGAACAAGACATATTTTTAATGGCTCAACTTAAAGCAATGGATGGTGGATCAATAAGCACTAGCAGACGCCTTAAAAAGAAAACCAGATCTAATAAAAGAACTTTTTACCACTGGGATCATAACACACTTCTTTGTCAAGAAACTTATCTCAATATGTTGGGAATTGGCAGAACTTATTTTGAAAATATTAGAAATCATCTGATAGAAAATGGTCTTCTGCCAAGAGTTCATGGTAATATCAAAAGGATGCCTCAGTGGAAAACTAAAATGGTAATTGATAAAAATATTGCTGAAGTAGTAAAAAACTTCCTTGAAAATTATGCAGAAGTTCATGGATTACCAAGTCCAGGAAGAAGTATCAATAGAATAACCCAATCAATTGTATTCTTACCAGCTGAAATGAGTTACAAATCAGTGTATAGAGATTTTCTAGCTGGTCTGGAAGAAAACAGCAAATTGAAATCCTTAAAATATGATGCTTTCAGAAAGTTATGATATCAATTGACACCAGAAATTCAAATTATGAGTCCCAGAACTGATTTATGTGATACTTGTCAACATTTTAGGGATGGTTTACATTATAATGCTTGCCAAGAGGAAGAAGCGTTTAAAGATTACTTGTGATAATGCTGGGGGACAAAATAAAAATAATGTGACAAATTGGTTTTATTTGTATTTAGTAATTTGTGGTTATTATGAAAGTATTGAATTAAATTTCATGATTCCTGGGCACACCAAATTCAAATATGATGGTAGTTTTGGCATGATTAAAAAACTTTACAGAAGAACAAGAGTAGATTGTCTGGATCATGTGGTTGCAGTGGTAAAAAAGTCTAGTTCAGCAGGATTAAATAAAGCTCAATGTTATGAATGTGGAAAAGGTTTTCAATACTTAGATATTAAAGCTATTTTGGGAATTTATTTTAAGAAATTACCAAATATACAAAAATATCAACATTTTCTTTTTGAAGGAATTAATTTTGGTGTGGTCAAAGCTCAGGAAATTGCTAATTGACCTTTTGCTGAATTCAATTTATTGAAAACCAAGAAAGCAGATATTTTGGAAGAAACTAGAGCTTTATCATTTTAGTATTAACACCACCACCTTTGGATTACAAAAGACAAGAATATCTTTACCAGAATATTCGCCCATTTGTGAAAGATGAATACAAAGATATTACTTGCCCAAGGCCAATATATACTGACAATGAATAGAATATTTAGAATAAAATCACCTCTATACTTCTTACTGTCATTAAGTTTAATAAGTTTAATCTTATGACAAATATTGTTAGCTTTTTTCCACATTTAAAGTAAAAAAGTACTAAAATAATTATATACTTAATATATCATCATAAAAAGGATATAAATATAGTATATTAAAAGAATAAAAAAAAAAACAAGGAACAAACAAGAAAATCATGACAAACATCATAAATTAACAACAAAAAGAAAATAAAGAACTATTAAATGAAATAGAATTATTGAAAAAGCAATTGGCTGATAAAGAAGAAAACTTTAAGCTAAAAATCTGAAATGCAGTTCACAGTCTTACTGAAAGTACAGAATATACTGGAACAAGTTTAAGAACCTTAGAAAGATTTACTTGAGTTGACAATGGTTGAGTAAGTTGTCCAGAAAAGAATGGAATTGAAATTGGAAGAGTTGTTTTTAGCAACAAATTCACTCCTGAAAACATTGTTAAAAGTTTTGGTCATGAAGCATTAAATTATGAAGAAGCTTTTGGTTTTACTTATCAAGAAAAAGAAGAATTAAAAGAAAAGGATGCTCTTCTAGAAAAAAAGGTTGTTGAGTTACAGCAAATTAATCAAGAGTTGGAAGAAGCATTAGAACTAGAAGTGGAAACATCTGAATGTCATTTAGAGGCTCTTGAAGTAGCTAGACAATGGAGAGTAAGGCAAAGCAAGGAAAAAGATGACAACTTAGAAAAGGCTTTGAAAAAAATAGAAATGCTAGAAAATGTTGTAGCATGGCAGAATTATTTAGCAGATAAGCAACTTCAAGAATTACCATCCTTACCAAAAAAAGAAAGAAAATTCAAACTCCTAACTAACAAAGTAAAGAACAGAATTAAGCAAGTAAAGGAAATAACCAGAGAAAAATTCAATGCTTATATTTTACAAAAGAGTAAATAGTATGAAATTAGAATATCAAGCTATCAAATTAAGGAGAGGAGATAAATGGCATTGTAATTTCTGTTCTTTTGAAAGAGAAAGGAGTTTAACTGCTACTTACAAAATAGTATCTTACAATACAAACAATAATGATTACAATGACATTGCTTATATTTGTGTTGAATGTAAAAAAGCTCTTGATGATAATACTTTGCCACATTGTAATGATTGTGGTAGAATTATGAGAAGCAGGATAGATTGTTTTTGTGATTTAAGGAAA